ATATAAAATTAAATCAGTCACGTATTGGCAGATGAGGCGTGACCGCATACGCCTGCCGGTGAGACAATTAAAAAAAATAAAAACAAAATGGCGCCAACGGGGTCAGCCGAGTCGGTCGATTGTTAATGAACGATTCTCCGTACATTCGTGGTGCGTGCACACGACTTCAACTATTGTGTAATTGCGTTCCAACGATGAGATGCTCTTTATTTATAAATGCGATTATATAATAAATAATAATTGATTATTTATGAATTGCATGACTGTGGACATGGCTCGTGCCCAATAAATATTATTTATACGAGAGTATCAACATCCGTTGATTTAATAGTTCATTGCATACTAATTTACTTCTGGTTCAAAGAGACAACAATACAACAAACAATACAAGAAAAATTATATAAATAACTTTAGAAAAAACAAAGCAAAAACAACTCAAATAAGTACAGATACATGCACGGATTTTTTGAAAATGAAAAATCCATGCATGTACAACTAGAGAAAACTTAAGAAAACTTAATTTGCTTCGTTACGATTGCTTCATAAAATATTTATTAAAGCCAGCTAGAATTATGACTTTATCATTGGTCACATTGAACTATAAGGTTGATACTTCAACTCTAATTTGATTAGCAAAGCTAAGTGAAACATTAGTATCTGAACTGGCAAATTTCAAATCAAATTTCGTACAAAAAATCATGGCATAAAAGTTGTTAAACTTGTTTGATAGAAACAGTCTGATTTGACCACACCTATCTAGTGTCAGGGATTAGTCATCGGAGTACACGTTGGTGATAAATGAGGTCCGTATTTTATTACATTACCAATGGAACCAAAAGGACATTCACCTGTAAAATACATAAAATATTAGAATTTAAAAAAATAGCTTTTTTACATGATATGTGCTTGATATATCATAGACAATAACACAATAAGCTCTTATACCAACCTACTATAGACTATAGAAGAGGTTGATAACAATCTATTCATTCTTCTTTCAAATATAGCCACGTCACAATCCTGGAAATCTTACAATTGCTTCGTTCCTTTTACAGCATTATAAATGAAGGTTTAAGATGTTAGATTCATTCGTGTTTGAATTAACAGTTGAAACGCGTGGAAGCTTTGAACCAGAGTATCTTTAATGCTTTAATAATAAAAGAAATTAGTAGACTAGATACAGTTTTGTTGTAGACAGGCAGGAAATCTTTAGTTACCGTGCCTAAAAAGTGTTGTACGATATCGAACTGTCAAATGTGACGTGAACATGACATCTGATCATATCATCGCGATTTTAAAACAAGTAAGTGCAGTAGACAGAGAAAGATAATTCTTTGATATTTTGAGTTCTCATAGGTGGCAATTAACCCTTTTTCAATGAAAAAAAAGTAAAGTCCAAAAACAGAAGAAGGCAAGCGACTGCAATAATTCCTCGAATGTTTTTTCAAATGTCTTAAAAGGTCCTTTGTCGGGGATATGGGTAGCATGTGGTGAATCGGGTCACTTTGGCGAGTCTATTTTTATATATTTTTTGTAGTCTCGCCCACTTCCAACGTGACACATATGGTGTTCCATGGTTCCTGTTTTGTTCTGCTAATGGTATTAATTTGGCAACAGATGCAGAAAGTCGAAATCTTTTGCCACGCGTTATTACTTATTTGAATAACACTGTAATAGGATCATCCGATGGATTTTGTTCTCTCTAACTCTATTAGAATTCAGATAAATAATGTTAGTAAAATTAGTATTGTTTATTTATATTTAGTAATGTTATTACGATGCTTTATTTTCTGAGTATAATAATTAATAATATCCCCAATATGAACAGCAACATCTCGAGACGGGAACTGCTTGAGTTATCAAAATAAATGAATTCACTTTTTAAACTTGTGACGCAATAACAGTTCCGTATTCTTTCCCACAGTATACTGTCTGCATGACAGTTGTCTGATATTTATCGGCTGTCACATAAATAAAGCGAATTGCCGGAGAAACAACAGGCTAAGGGCTGTCCCACACGTGCGGGCCGGATCTCCCCTAATTGCTGTTTTTTGTATTCTCTATTTAGTTAACGAGTAATTGTATTTATTAGATAAATTATTTGGTTTTATTGTGTTTGCGGTTCGTTAGGGAAACAGGAAATGATGTTTAATTGTTTTTATTTTTAATCAGTTATGTCTATTCTATATGCGACAAATTATTAACGACCCAGGATCCAGTTTGTTTCCTATTGTTAGACTTAGTCGATCACTTTTTGGTGTCCTTAGTGTCATAGTTTAAATAAATGATAAATAAAAAAAGCAATTACCAACAATAAATAATTGTTTCATGGCTGCTTCATTACCATGGCAACCGTAACCGAAATTGTATTAGGTTATGTAAACAACAGGAATATTAAGCTATTATAATTTTAAGTGATACAGCAATATATGTTATAAAATATTGTTTGAAATCCTCGTTTGCCTCATTAAATAATCACATAAATAAATTACGATCAGGTAATTCAACGAATTGTCACGTAATGTAAGCAAACAATAAAAAAGGGAACTGTAAAACTTTCCCTAATGAGTATTACACGAAAGAGACGGGTAGCGTTTTACGGCGATGAATTTACGAGTTTACTGAAATAGTACGATTTGAGTCCGGGTCGCGTCGTGTTGGTACTGACGGACGACTAATTTCGTACCAGTGTACTGCACGAATTTGAATAATAGGACCCTTCGCATGAATAGAGAATAGAGTGACCATGTGATAAAGATACACGGGATATGTTTATTATTCTTTTTAAGGGAACCAAATTCAGCCAATCAAATAATTTGATTAATGAATAGACTATAAATCAAGTAAATGTGTTGCTTTAAATTTAGATATTGGCCACAAAAATAACATGTCTGTGATCTGCTCAGGGAACAAAAAAAACTTCTATTTTAGTATTTTTAAACTCGTGGTCAACTTACTTTATCTATTAATTTTGACGAGTTGTAATACTAAAAAGCATTTTAAAATAAATGTGTTTCAATTCTAGTCCTGTAATTTTATGGTCACCCTATCGTCAAGATGGCGTGGATTCATCAAATTGACATTTACACGCTTTAAGCTTTTACTTCGCTCTCAGATTATTTTGTTAAAACCTCAAAAACAAAATTAGTTGTTAACTTAACGAAACAAAAATAGCTTTGTTAGAACAAACTATAAAAATAAAACTAACTCATGTCTACGATGTTATAAGGAATAAAAAACTAAGCTCAGTCATTATTCAATATATTAACTGTGAGAAAAAATAAAAATCCTTATATGTTTTATTTAACTCTAAACCCTAATCAAGTCGTCTAAATTGATCGATTCCATGACGTCTATAGGCCTTTTGAAATAGTGCACCTACTACTCGAGAATAAAATTTCCCCTTTGGAGCTTGGGGTGAGATTTTAGAAGGGCACCCTGTTTGAAGAACAAAGGAGTTTCGCGATAGGGCTTGATGAGTTCAACCTTACCGAAACAGTTAAAATGGTGTGTTTGTAATGTAATGTTTAAATACTAGATTATTTTTTTAAACCTAATTTTAACGACCTGTTTTATCATGAAATATCCATTGTCTTCTTGTGATAGTAATATAGTTACTCCAGTTTTGAGATGGTAAAACGTAAAATGCGTTTATCGAAAACCACTTATCGCTAACTAAACTCGATGGCTCCCTGGCTTGCGTTGATTTACTTTATGAGCTTTATAACGATCGGTTTCTTTATTGTCTGAGATTTGCTCTTATACATCTCGTCAATATTTCTATAGAAGCATGCATTTAGTGGAATCGCGTGTCTCCGCGGGCGGCGACGGCAGCTGCGCGCGCACGTGGCGGTCGGAAGTCGCACGCAACGCGCAAACCCATTGTTCAGACCTCTTAAAGCCCACCAGAGGGTCCCCCTGAACTGTATACAGTATACTGGTGTAACAAATTAAAGAGCATTTCATTCTTTCATTCATCCTAACATCGAAGCTTGTGCTAATAACTGGTTTGGGACAAAAGTCCTTTAAACATCAGGATATTAGCACTTCAAGCTTTAAAAAACAACTGTAGTTGTTTTAAATATTCTCATGCGGGGAAAACAGTTATAAATCTTATAAGGGATGTCGTAGATGTAATTCTTTACGTCCCAGGAGTCGACTTTTCCCAGGATAAGCAAAACGTCACAAAGGGCGCGACCCTAAGTAAGTATCGTGTCGTGACGAACTTTAATTTTGCCGCAACGTCGCTAATAGAGTACACACGAGCACTTAAAGCAATGAACTTAACAATACTTAGTGTAACCACAGAAAAACTTTTATAACAAGCTATGTGCTTATTCTCTGTGTAGCGATTCGACTACGCACAAATAACTTCAAATGACAAGTAAATAACTCTTTAAAAATATTTGTTTTGTAATGAGTAAGACGCTTGACAATCGATAATTGATGTACATATTTATCTTATTTGCAATAACCCTATTCCTTATTGTAAAGAAGGTGTCAGCGCTTTTCATCATTGCGTAACCCTAACTCATTATTCAGAAAACAATAATAAGATTAATCATCCTATCCTACAACTTATTTTCAGCGTGAAGAATAAATTCCACTTTTTTTTATAAAATAATAACTAAGAATATAAAAAAATACGAGTCGGGAAAATTCACAAAAAAATTAAGATCGCAACTATTTTGTTTATTAGGTACTATCTTTCTCTTAAAAAAAGCCCAGATCTCCGAACAAAGGGTCGTCACGAAGCTTTTTAATTTTAGCGTATAGGAAAATAAGCAATAAAGTATATGAGAGTGCAGGCAATTTTTTTTCAAATTCGCCTGAATCATCGCGTCAATCGAGGTGGTCGCCCCATCGATAAACAAAAGGTCGGACCCTGCGGGTCCCAGCACCCGGCCGCACACATACGCGCCACGCAAACACATACGCAAAGCAACAACAAGTCGCAACTTGCACGGAGTGCGTCGAGTTTTGTTTGTCCGCCAACCGCATTCGTCCACCAACCGTCGTGGTGAGCGGTTGTGTCGCTCGTGTCGATCGTGTTTAGTGAACGTGTTTTGTGCCTATGAACAGTCAAAATGGTGCGTAGCCTGTCGCAGTGGACGAAGACGTTGAGCTTCCCGGCGAGGCTGTCGCCCAACCGGACGTCGAAGGAGAGCGTGGTGAACGTGCAGCCCGCCTCCCCCGGCGTCTCCCCCACACCCAGCGCCTCCTCGCTCCCGCAAGGATCCGATAAAACCATTTCGCCGATCCCCATCACCGAGATCAGCCAAATCGTAAGTTCCGCTTTGCAATAGGGGTGTGCAATACTCTGTACAAAGGGGAACTCTGTAGAGGCCATTGACATTTAGTTTTGGAATTTGAAAGGGTCTTTATTTGAGAGACTATTCTTATTAGCAAGCATGCATATAAATTGAGCATTTTTACACTTGTTGGTTTTACTGTTGCTATTTGAAGATTATTTCTATGTTTATTGGGGTGATTTTATTACGAAGGTTTCTAAAATGGTCGACATTCTTAACATTTTTGCACAAGTTTAAGCCCGGACCTCTGGCAAAATTATGTAACACGTTCCTTATTTTGTGCAATCACCTACATTTCTACCGGGTTCTTGCATTCCCTGTTCATTCTGTCTGCATTGTGTTTACAAATATAAACCACGGCACGGTCCCTTTACCCTTTACGGTGGCACAGTTATATTGTAACTGCTTTCCCATAAGTAACACCCAAATACGTGTCCAAAATGCAAACCGGCTCCGACCACCATATTAGCGAGAAGTTCTGCTGAAAGGAAATGAAATAAACGTGTCTCATACCAACGATCGGGGTTCCTACCGTGATGTCTACCAGTTCGTTGTTCATCGACGCTTTTATTTGTGATCGGAGCCAAACAAAACGGTATCGGCGTTCATTGGAGTGTTAACAAGGCGATGCAGTGTATAGCGATCAATGACAGGGGTGTACGTAGCCGGTGCGGTCGCGACTCGTACCGTTATGTCCCTCTTGCAGTCACCTTGGCAAGGCCGCGTCGAGATGCCAGTTTTTGCAAAGCTAGGTAGCACATGACTTTCACCTTTTGAGATGCCTTTCTAAACATCCGTACTTATAGTTAAACTTATTTAGGCTTTCGAATGTTAGTGTTAAAAGTAAACACTAGTGAATAAATCGGAAAGTTTCATTATTCTTTGTAAGTCGTTTATTAAACTTTAGTATTGTCATTAATGGTCGTGTGAACTAACACGTTATTTTGTTTATGATACTATCTTTTAATAGACGTGATTAACTGACAATACAAAATTGCAGTTATAGCTTTCACAATGTTCGACAATAACACTTATTAAAAACTTTTCTGTGTTAACAACTTTCAACAGTGTTGAGAATGTTGTCATTATTATGATTATTACCAAAATAATAGTAAGCCTTTATTTGCGATCGTTAAAATTATATTATTGTCGAAAATGAAGTGATGTATGAAAGGCATTATACCAAAAAAAATTGCAGGCATTATTTTTTGTGACGATAAAAAAATGTGATGAAATTCCCGACACAATGACATGATTTCATCATTATTATCTTTTCGTCAGTCTATTGTTGAATCCATAAATCACAAAGGCATTGAATTTATATTATTAAAATCGTATATCCCTTAAAAAAAACAACTTTCGTTAATCTGCATCTTTAGATATTCCGTGCGATATTTTATGCCTACCAGAAAGACTTTTAAATAATTTTACGTCAATTTATTCATATTTTTCTATAGATATCTAGTCAGTCCTTGTAATTATATTTATGTATACAATTAATATTTCATTTGCAATGTAATATGAGTAGAAATGTCCGGTTAATATAGTGGTTAAACAGGTATTAAACGCAGGTATTTCCTGACCACATGCTTCAGCGAAATTCTATATTTAGGTTCGGTATGTAAGATATTCCATTTGAATTTTTGTCTCGTTAAAACATTGTTCTTAAAGAACTTCGCAACATCTAATAAACAGCATTTCGTATGGTTCTTACTTTTAACAGCCTTGTATGTCAAAGTGCAAGATTCTCAGCGGGCTATAAATTAAGTTACTCGTAATAAAAAGTAAATCGTAAAAAGAAAGCCATTACCATTGGCCATTTTCGATTTATGGTCTACGTCGGTATTCCTTGACATATTTTTAAAAAAGTTATTTGACATTGTGTACGTCATTTATTGGCGGTAAATTATACTAAGCGTATAACTTTGTTCGATGCATCGGAATGCAGATTTGATGGCTGTTACAATGTTGGTTTTGGTTGGCGTTTCATCGGAGCGTGTGATACTGTGACGACATGTTTGCTTGCGCGGGCGCATTCCGGGGACGTCTGGCATTAAATAAACAGAAGTGAACTTAAAAATGATATTTCGAAACAGACGCTACCATATGCATCGTAACTCACGCATGCGCTAATGGATGTCACAGCCTTGTTACTTTCTTTGTTTTGTTAACCATTTTAAATAACTATCTTAAATGCTTTCTCATTCTTCAACATTATACTCATTACGATTTAGTCCGTGACTATTTAATTAACTATTTGAAGTGACTCTATTTTAAGTAACACATTCATAATATCTTGCCTTGACACATTAGACGTGTCTTAAGATTTACGATTAGCCTAACCAATCCAATCTTTGCTAAAGGATGTCCATGATAATTCTACGGAAACACTGCCTTTTGCAATTTATTAATACCTCATACACCAAAGACTTAAGTCTATATTAGACAAAGTATATTATAAAAAATATAGTGGTTGTTTTTATTAAGTATTAAACAGTGTCTGTGGCGGAACGAACATCTGCGTGTTGAATTCCTCGACGCCATGTGCATGTGGGAAGCGGACAGCATGACCGACGAACGAAAAAGTCGAGTGCTTTTGAATATAGAATACATTACGCTAATTTATATTGATTTTAATTTTCTTCCTAGTACTTGATAATATGCCTTTACCTAAGCTCTAAAGGGATGTTAGTTTTTTTTATTGTATTTTATACCGACAAGGATTTTATCAGACGCTCAAATTAGTTATGAATCAATATCTATGAATAATGAGGAACGATGTTACTTATGAATGCAATCGTTTCTTGTATTATACGTATTAGTTACATGAGTTGATAAAAACCATTTGTTAAGGTAAAGGGAGTTTTTTAACGTCAGCTGTTTTGAAAGTATGTTACGAAATTTATTAGGGTGACACTTTTAATGTTACACCAGTAAAAATTATCATTTCTTAATATTTATCTTACTAATATTATAAATGCGAATGTTTAGATGGATAGATGTTTGTTTGAAGGTATCTCCAGAACGGCTCAACGGATTTTGATGATATAAGACATAAATGTAGAACATAGTCCGTAACAACACATAAGCTATTTATTACGCGTTTTACTACTTTGTTTCAGTATTATAAAATACATCACATTTTGTGTGAATCCTTGAAATCTTCAACAACGAAATCGGCAACTTTTTATTTATTTAATAACAATATGAACGTGTCTAAAGTCCCAGTTATTTGAAGGTCATTGCCTAGATAAGCGAACCGTATCTTGCAAAATAAGCAAATATGTATATAAATATAAGATTACACATATATACTAAGGCTATATTGTTTACGTAAGTTTTTTAAATGCTAATAATACTCCACGGACACAAATTATGTATCCAAAATCAAGTTAACTTACTAATGGAAATATATCTAAATTGTTAGGGTTGTTACGTTCCACTTTGTGTTTTAGAAAACTAAGGTTTATAAATTAAAAACATACAAACAACATATAGCATGTTCCACGGTCTCATTGTCAAAACAAATACACCATTATATATATTTTTATATTCAACTTTCATTAATTTTACACAGGTTTAATAATTATGGTAAAAATAATGATATATCTCTGCTCCACTTCGCAATTAGTGCTGTGTTAATTGCTATAAGTATCAAGATTCATCAGCCACCAACAAGCGCGGTAGTTGTATCAAGTATCAAGCATCATTGGTCTTCAGTAGAACGGATATGATATGCGATACTCGTAAATAACCTTGTCATTGAAAGATATCAGGTAATCTTGTCGACGGATGCGCGCAAAAAAGGTTTCTAACCATGGGTTTCTTAGTCTAAAATCCTTTTAAAACATATTGTTATCTCTGTTTTGTTAAAGATAAAAGACAGGGATAACAATATTAGTAGTAGTTTTATACCGAGATTTTCGTGTCAGAAACCCACGGTAAGTGATAGAGATATTTACCGATTTGATATGAATACTTGGAACGTTATCTATAATGTTTATAAAAATCAATAAACTAGTTATTTGTTCGATTTGTAAACTAAATGGTAGACTGTCCTTCTCAATTATATTATACTAGTTGTCAGCCGCTACTCCTTCCGCGCGGAATTAAAAAAAAACTATTGGTCGCAGCGTAATATTATATAGCCTAAAGCTTTCTTCTATAAATGAGCTATCCAACAAAAAAAGAATTTTTGAAATCGGACCATTAGTTCCTGAGATTAGCGCGTTTAAACAAACTCTTCCGCTTTATAATATTAGTATAAATGGTGTCCGTTTTTTGACGAATTTTGTGTTTATCAGATTCGTACTGATAAAAAGCAATTATGATACTAAATAAACATATAGAAAAGGAAAAAAATAAAGCCGTAATTCTAGATTTATTCTAATAAACAGAAAACCGCAAATACTTCTGTAATAGCAAAAACGTAAAACGCTTGTTAACTACAGAGAATTTATAAATGAGAAAAGAAAGTTTCTTGAAGGCGGAGGGAATTAATTAACTATAATTAAAACTACATGCTCTAATAACACAAAAATGATAATTCACAATAACAGTATGGTTACTCTACCAAAACAATACGTAGGTAGGTCATTCTTGCACTCTTAAAATAAAGGCAGGTGTTTTTAAAGAAATTCCAAAATGGCACCTGCATGAACAGATGCTCAGTCGTAAGATTTTCTAAAGGCTCGTGTTGTAAAGTGAAACAGCTGACGATCTTTGGGTCTCGATAAAAACCGAAGCAAAATTGACACTTGAATGTTCCGATTTACGTTAGCTGATTTTCGAGACAGATGGCGCTTTTCAATTTGAAACACTTTTGTTCGGAATTTGGTAGAAAAAACACCGAACGTTTAACAAAGATTTTGTTCACATGGTTACTTAATACTTTGTTATTGTTGTCAAATCAAACAGCTGAAAATGCCATATAACAAAAAGGTATATAAAGGGGCAAGATTTCTTTAAAACTA